CAATTTCATTGATCCTTCTTCCCCATGGGCTCGAAAATTGTTTTACAATGTCACGAGCGACTAGTTATTTCTTATAGGTAGTGCGTAGATTGCATCTCGCAATACTCGCAGATCGGAAATGTTCCGGAGATAACTAATAGATGGTCCTAGTGCGTCAGTGCCTGATTAGTGAGGGGCTGCCAAATTGGTGGGGAAAAAAAAGATAATAATGTGGATGGCTACACAAAGGAGCCCATCGGCTTGAACACGATTAGTACACGACCCTTCCTCCAAAGGGGATAGCTACATATAGCACCATCATCATCATCTGATTGATAACGCCAGGGGGTCTTTCGTCATACGCAACAAGAATATGTTGCGACGCAGTCAAACACGCACAAACACAAACGTGTGAACCTGCCTTTATGCTACTCTACGACTTCGAGTCAGTAGGGAATTTGCGCAGCCCGCTAAGCACCCGGATAGCATTCCGTAATCCGCCACAAGACCTTGAACTATGCAGACAAGGCTGGCGGCGCGCATGCGCAGCTGCGGCGTTTTTTTTTACGGATACCGTAGCGGATGAGTAAAACGATCTACTACAACTCCCTAGTGACACGCGTGCTTCGTATGTAGAGTGTTTACACTCTCAACAAAAGGGTAGTCGTAGGACTACCATTTGGGGTAGTCAGAAGCCGTCACACATATCGCCTTTAGTTATACTAACGACCCCATGCGTAGTCACACGGCACGGAATCAACAGGTAGTCACGGTGACCACCCCCAAAAAGAAATATGGCGACTGGCAAGCAACACTGGAGCAATACATGTAATGCCTAGCGAGCTGGACTGCTTTTCGCTAAAATACAGTGGTGGAAGTGCCATTTGACCCTTTGGAGCAGGCCTTGTAGCAGGCAAAATGTTGTTTTGGAGCAGGTAGTGGCCGTTTTGGAGCAGGGTCCGGCATATGTTGGCATATTACTTGAAAATGAAATAATGCTGCATTGCTATATAAAGCCCATCCCTATTATTAGAACACAGCACCTTTCGCCTTTTTAAGACAGGATATATAAAATTCAACAAAATAAACATACACAAAAAAACATTTTTTTTTTAAATAAAGTTTATCTGCTCGTCAGATAAAAAAATACAATTAAATATGTCACACTGAGTTCTGATGGTACAGGATATTTAGTTTTATCAGCCTGCACTTCTTTTAAGGAACCTGCAGCAGCATCTAACGACCCTCACTGTTGTGGAATTTTTTAGTACAGATTAGAGTTGTCTTTCGGGCAGCCGCTTCAAATATTGCGGTATCTGATGTTCGCTTCAAAAATTTTCGATGTGCTGGCAAAGTCACGATCGGATCACGGCGAGTCAACCCGTTGAGTGCGCTCCTTGGCATGCACCGACGCGCTGCAGAGAAGCGAAACCCGCGGAGCAGACATCGCAGTCGCGCAGTGCTTTGTGCTCCGAAAAGGACGGTGAGGCTTTACCAGCACTACATCCAGAGTTCGGTGCAACTCAACTATACTTCATTTCAGCTTCGGTGCGAGCGCAGCCGAAGCTACAAGCGCGCGCATGGAGCCAGTAACGGTGCCCACACTGCACGAGCCCATGCGCGAGTCAGGAATACACAGAGCATTGGGCTCGCGCTAGCTTTGACTTCGCTGGTAGCTAGCGCACGGGAACAGGGCGGGCTAACAATAAAAACGTCCACAAGCTGGGCCTTTTTTTTTTTTTTTTTTAATAGGCTGCTTAGTGGAATGGTACTTCGCTTAGCCTCTGCGGCTTTGGTCTCAGATGTTGCTAACGTTGTTCCTTTCAATGATGATGATGATAATGCGCCCTCGCAGTTTCGGTTTGCGTCACAGTTGTGGCGCGGAAAATACCGCGGAACCGCCACGCGCTCTGATAAGACTTCGATTTTTATTTTTTATTGCTACACCTCATCTCGGCGCAGGCATGGCGCAATTCTTCGGTAAAATGTCGATTTGGCGCTACATGTAGCAGGATTGCGTCCTTGGCGCAATTTGGCGCAGCACTTCCACCACTGGAAATACGATTCTCAAGTGCGTACGCCCGTTCGCTGTCTTCTAGGAGCAGCCGGTACAGCGGCCCGGTTATGGGGTGCCCTGACGAGACGAGGAAGAGGTGATCGGCTTTTAGGTTTAGATTTAATGATTCATAGAGAAGAACATCAAAACTGAAGAACACGAACGGCGAAAGAAACAAGAGTTCGGGCTCCAGCTGGCGCTTATAACAGCACAAATAGCGCCCGTGACGACGCAACAATCTAGTAAAAGCCCATTACTACAGTGCCACTGAACTGGAACCCGCTACTGAATTGGAAAGTTGGCGGGCTACGTACATACAGCCGGGAGATCACAACAATGACGGGTGCAGCTCAGAAATTCAACCAGTCCGAGATCGATGAAAACAGTACGGGCGACACAGTCACATACCTCTGAGCATGTTTACCCGGCCGATCCTCGGTCCCAGTGTTCAATTGTTTAACACAATCAGATATACGACTAGTGATGAAAATAATCCCTGGAGAAGGCGAACAAGGTGAACAAAGAACAAACACAAATCTCCAAACACAGCTAGGTGACTGGTGCGCGACCGAAAAAATCCGCCTGGTCTGGGTATCGAACCCAGGACCTCTCCATTACAGGCGGATTTTTTCTGTCGCGCACCAGTCACCTAGCTGTGTTTGGAGATTTGTGTTTGTCCTTTGTCCCTCTTGTTCCCCTTCTCCTGGGATTATTTTCATAATTACTGTCCAGCTCGCTTGCACCTTTGCATTTAATTGCATTATAATCATACGACTAGTGATTTTTTTTAAAAAATAAGTTGCAAAATAAAATACGGCAAAAAGAATATCTTTACCACAATTCTGCAAATACTCACGTCAAGCCAAGCGTCGATTGTTGACAACCAGTGTTGCTGCTCGCGCTGACAAAGTTTTTATTCCACCAATTTACGCGAATGGACTCCGTAAGTGTGACGTCATGGGTCCAAACAAACCGTTGCTAGGGTCGTTGTTATGGACAAACACATGTGGCTAGGTTTCGCTACGAAAACCCGACCGCTCAAAGATCCGGAGTAGGATTTAAACTTCTAAAAATCACAGATATAGAAAGCTTAAATGTCATATATGTTTCGACAGAAGTGTGCCGGTAATCGCTTGTTTCTGAAATATTTACGACAGCAACTTCCGGTCCTCAAGATGCCTGCAGCAGACGACGAATGCAAGTATGCCGTCTGCGATACGCCGGCCGGCCAAGTCGGCGCCGTCGTTTGAATCGTGTGAATAAAGACGATATTCTGATATTGCGTATGTTTTAAATGTAATGAGTTTCAGACACAAGAATTCATAGTGGGCTGCGATGCAAATTATGGTTTATCGAAAGTCCGGGCGTCGATCGAGATGATCGCCGGCTAAAATATCGCATTGCACCCGTGAGAAAAGCACTTTAGGCGATCGGTTGAGATCCCAAATTTTCTTTGCGAACTCGCGCTATGGGAGGGGGATTCGTACCTATAGTTGTAACCATCGGTGCGATGGTTGCTGCGAAATCGCGATAGACATGCAGTTCTGTAATACCCTGACAACCTCAATAATAATAATAATAATTATAATAATAATAAACGACTTACCTCGACGGCGTACTATTTGCTTCTCATGCTGGCCTGCACTATGCAGGTAATGCACTTCAGGTCGCCGTCCTAACTGAGCTGCATGACGTGCTTTAATTTTACGGCATTTTCACCCCTCTGAACTAAGCTGAGTTCTTCACAGAAAACAAAAACGCACACTGCGGAGGCCTCTACGGCCATGGCGACAGTGGCGTCACATCACAAGGGGGATGCGGGGGGGGGGGGGGGGGGGGGGCGGCGGCCGACGACGAGCGGGGGCGATGGTGTCGCGGCAGGCGACGAGCCGGGGGGGGGGAGTGGCTGCGGGCCACCGCCCCGGGTGCTCCCGACCGTAGTGAGCCACCGCATGGCAAAGCATTTGTTTTTGTCGACCATTTACGGACGCAATTCGATGAAGACGCCCGCTGCAACAGAGGCTAGCAAATCTATCGTGCCGTCTGCTACCAAAGCAAAGCGGAGTGTAATACTTCAGAAATGGCTTTGATTGTAGCAATACGACACTGAGACGACAAGAACATCCTCAAATTTAGATATTAAGATTAAGTTAGGTTGCTTATAAAATATTTTCTTATTTGTAAGCATGTAGCCTCATCTGGCGTCTCAATGCTCATAGCTCATAGTCCATAGCAACGTTCCTAGCAACGGCTTGTTTCAACCCAGACGCCATGTTTTGACGTAGTCACTTACGGAGTCAATCGCACAACAGATGTGATTTTGGCGGATCTTGAAGGATCAGGAAAGCTAAAGAACATATTTTATGGTCATTTTGTGGTTGTCTCAGTTACTAATATCCTTTACGACTGCCTGCACGTAAATATCAGATTCGAAAGTGACCCCCCCCCCCCCCCCCCCCCCCTGTCGTAACCTGCACAAAAGTGGTCGTTCCGGTCAACACTTTGCCCAAAGGCTAGTCACTCGCTTTTAGGGGTAGTCAAAGCCACAAAACGGTACTTTGACTACCCAGGGTAGTGATTTTTTCTTAGACGGCAGTGAGTCCTTGAATTAGTTGCCACGACTCATGCAAACCACGGCGACTCGCGGTCGCATCATAACGCAACGCGAGAAAACGTAAGCTAAAGCTCCATGCCAATGGGCCCTCATTCGCCTGTTTTTTGTTTGGCCACCAACTGAGTGGCGCCATCTATAGGAAACTACAGCTCCGCGTATATTTCCCAACTGTTTACACACCATTCTATAAACGTAAGGATGAATTACGTCTGACAGTGCTATAAGTGACCATTTCTCGACAGCGCGTGGACTTGATTTCGCCAGTACTTCAAAACCCATCCTCTAGATCAGAACCGCAAGTGTTTACGGGCTATTTGCACACTTGCGCCATAGCGTCTAAAATCACAAGAGAAAGAGGGAATGGCTTTATTCCCGTGCACCCGTAGATACAAAGTCATAATCCAGACAAGGAATGTTTTTATATTGGATCCATTAAAAAGTCATCAAACTCGCTAACAAGTCCAGCTTAAAACACACGAATGCAAGCATAAAATCACACAAAAAGGAGGTATTTTCTCGGAGTTCAGGGGCGCCACGTGGCGCTCACAGCCCGCGCCTGGGAGGCCACTCTTTGAAGACGGAGCAGCAGTCGGAGCAGTTGAAGCCACGGCTCGGTTCGTCAGTCTTCGTCGTCGCTGCTGACGATGACAGCCCTCTTGATACTCGATGCGGTCCGGTTTTCCCCGGCGGCACCTGAAACCAAAGGTGAGCCGGAAATGTCACGTTCAGGCTGAGTTGCTCATTAATCGTATACTGCGTTCAAGGGGAGGCCCAACAATTTTTTTTAATACTTGCCCTCCACTTATTAAACACGCTTTTCTGTTTTTCTGGACGTAATAGCAGCGGCCCAAAAATCGGGGAGAAAAAACAAAAATGAGCAGCGTTTTCCCCTCAATTAGAAACCAGAAAAAGAGGCCGTGTGATCTGGTCACAGTTATAGGCCGCCAATGTTCATGATAGACACACGTTGCGGCCGGCAAAGCACGGGGCATGCCTCGAGTTCCAGATATGGTTCGGCTATTCCCCCCAGCGGAGTGACTGGACACCCAAATGCTTGTCAATGCATGGACAGCAACGAGCCCCACTCGAGTGATCACGCAGTGCTCAGGTCCATTTTATGAGCCGCGCTTAAATATTGTCATCAAGTTTCGTGAAGATGAGACTGAAAAAAAAAAAAAAAATCAAACTCCTCTACAAAGAAGCTACTTGGTCAATGGCCTGCAAGTACACTTGTACCACACTAGAGTCAGTAAGCTTGTATAGAGTGAGAAACATTGAAACTCACTATATCTTTATAGTTTATTTGGAGAGATGTAAAGTATAGGTTAAGTACGAAGAGACTCAAATAGTCACTTTAAATCGAAACAGAAACTTATTAAAAGCCGGTCACGCAAGCGATGTGAAGGCAAAACGATAATCAATATATCGCTATCAAACTCCATGATCCATGAATGATAGATTGTAAATATGGCGTTATTAATGAATTCAATAAGAACAAACACTTCTTCGAATAACATTTCTTTATATTACAGCGCGAAATTGTTTCGCAAAGGGATCATGCTGAGACGGCTAGGGGCTTTCGCAACCATAATCCCAGGGGAGCTTTCGCAAAACGGGAATGGATTCTAATGTAATACTCGGACGACTGCGTCCAACGGCAGACCGTAAATGCTTTATAAAGTCTTTTACTACGAAATCAGATGACTTGGAGCGTCAGGCAGCACCGTGCGGGGATAACGTAAAATAAATATGATAGAGAAAAAGGTCTGAAGTCAAACGCCTGTAAGAAGAAGTCCCTCGAGGTGGCAAAGCGTGGCGGAAGATACTTTAGTTGACGCGTCACATAATATAGATGCAGGTAAAAAAAAATTAATAAAATCTGAATATTAAAAGAGGGTATATTGCCATGCGGATGTCCTATGAGCTTCTTGGGTCTGGCGGGCATTAGACGGGAGGTAATCATGCCGATCAGTACGCCATTTTGACAAAATATTGTTAATTAACTTTCTTATCGATCGTTCGGTAGATGACGATGCAACTACAGTATTGATGCCAATTACTATTACAGGCTAGACCAATTTAAATCGTTAGCGAAGAGGCAACGGGTTTTGAGCTATTCCTCAATCAGTTTTCAGTTTTGTCACCCGATTCCGAAACTGGACCTCCTCTAAAAGATGCTTAGAAGTGCGATGCAGTCCCTTCCGTAACGTCGTCATTAATTCTTGGAGTGCCACGCCCAAGTACAGCCAGGCGCGTTCGCGTGTGGTTTTAATTTAGATTTGCTCCCTGCCCTACCAAACTGGGACGAAATGGGCTAACATTTTTTTTTCTACATGTGGCGACATGTGTAAAAGGTCGACGAAAAAAAAAATCTTTCATCGTGTCTTTAATTGGCACAAATATGTTTTTTACGCGTCTGTTGTTGTAGCATGTTTTTTCGTTGTTACAGAACGGCGGGTCTCTGTCGTTCAGCATCGCGCTGCATGGTCAACAGTGAGATCTAGAAATGACCAATGAAATCGGCATTTAAAGACTGAAAACAAGGATGTTCCAGTTCCGAATAAAGAAAGGCAGACTAAGGCCGCTCAAAAGAGTGACCTCACGGTGCGATTTCGAGGTGCCATTGCATAGTACCGTGCCTACGAGAGTACAATACGAGAAATAGGTCATACGTGGGATGCATGCAGACGTAAATAGACCTATCATTAAATTACCCAAGCATCAAGGAGAAAGCTGGGAATGTAAGTCTGCGCGCCGGACGCGCTCGCCTTCCTCGTATCATAGTCTCCTCTATACTCAGGGGGGAGGGGGGGGGGGGGGGGGCGAGCACACCCATTATCCCCAGTTGGACCAATTAAAGTCCGTATTCAAAATTCAGTGTCGTGGCACCTCTCCCACTCTCTACCCCAAAAGAGGTCCCAGGGTGGCTGAACCGCTACTCCCCGGTAGTGGCTCCGTTACACACCGACGTTGAGCGCAGCAAAAAATAGCATAGGCCTACACATGGACCTTTCTTTGGTTGTAAGCAGGAAATCAACATCAGCGACCAATCAGTGTCGGCGTCTGCTGTGCCACGCTGCGTTTCCTACGCTCGATGTCGTAGTAGAACAGAGCCTTAGGCGTAGATTTGTTGCGCGTGCACACTCGAAGCTCGTGACACGCCGAAGCATTACCGCTCATTCCCACTGGAAGCAGATCCGCGTTCGGAAAGCGGTTGCGAACGCGGTTGTATAAAGATTCAGCACAATTGCACGCGCACTCGGTGACATCAAGTGCGCGTGCAATTGATTTGGACCTTTATTGGCGACGTGCGCGACCGAAAACGTCGCTGTGGTCGGCCTTCCACGACTGGCCGAACGCTGACTATGACGTCGGAAAGGGGATTTATCATTGACGACATAAGAGGACTGAAAGAAGTTTAATTTTGACGGTTTTGGCAGTGTTCCTTTGAGAGCGCAATGATTTCAAGCTTCCACCATGTTATTTACAAACACCATCGAACTTGTTGTTGGCAAGGTAATGACGTCACAAGGGGGAACCATAGGAGGGCGCCACCAAAACATCTCGCCGCTAATACAACCGCGTTCGCAATTGCTTCGCGAACGCGGATCCGCTTCCAGTGTGAATGAGCGGTTAGGGAGTTTTAGAGCAGGGGACTTCCGACGCTCGGGTCTCCCACATAGCTTGAGGCGTTACACCGCACTCGAGGAGCGCGGTGTCCCCAGCTGCTCGGGGCACCCAAAGCGTCTGGGCCCCCTCCTCTATGAAGGCCCGTTCACACTCTTGCGACCTCTTAAAACTGGGTACCTTAAAACCTCTGACAACGAGAGGACGACACTGGCGCCAAATAGAAAATATGCGGACCGCCAAGTTTGCACTGCTACCCAAGCAGTGCAAACTTGGCGGTCCGCATATTTTCTATTTCTCTCGCGCATTATCCTTTCTTTCTTGGCTAGAAAAACTTTTGTCAACGTTATAAACGAACCTTTCTTATAGGTATAACGCACATCTGACCTCGGAAAGCTCGTTTGTTTATGTTTGTTTATTTCTGGGGTGACGAGAAGAAAGGGGCACCAGGAGATGTGTGGGCCTCCGTTCATGGGGCGAGTCGCTACCTGGTGGATCTGGGAAAGGGACAAAAAGAGGAAAGAGGAGGAGAGAAATATACAAAAAAAAAGAGGTTAATGTAAAATGTAGCCCTAACGTTTCGCTCACGGGTTCACTCTCCTTGAAGTGAACCCGCGACAAACAAACGACGCACATTTCCCGGTGGCGCTCGCTTTAGTTTGCGGCACCGTGCTTGAAGCGTGCGCCACTGGGCGAAGGGCGCCACGAACCTGTCGCAAATTTGCTCTGTGGGGCCTCTTTCGTTTGGCCAGTGAGGTGCTCTAAGAGTGTCGACAATGGTCACCTCCGAGCAGAAATCAAAGTCTATCTGCAAGGCCGCTTTCCCGAAGAAAACGAAGAAGTGCTCGGAAGGCTCTTGCTGTTACCCCTCGTAATCCTTCAGGGTTCAAAAGTTCCTCCATGCTGTTTCTTGAGAGTCCTTCAGAGGCATAAAACTGAAAAAGAACTCTTCTTGGCTCCGCATGGGCGGGGCACCACAGAAGGGCGTGTTCGGCATCTTCTGGGTCACCGCACTCTGGGCAGCTGGGGTCCTCCTTACGGCCCATCCTGTGAAGCCGCTTAGCCGTATATGGACATCCAGCTCGAAGTCTGTGCAGGAGTGAAGCGTCGGCTCGCTGCAGGTTGCGGGGAATGCTTGGAGGCGGCTTGTTCGTCGCCACTCCTGGATGAGGATGCGACTTCTGTAGGCAGCTACGGATCAGTCGATGTGCCTCGTTGAAACGATCGAGCAGAAAGATTGGGTCTTGGTCGTCATGGGCTTTGGCTGCCAGAGTGTCCGCTCTCTCATTACCGGGAATCCCGACATGAGATGGGACCCACTGCATAGCGAGGGTCCATCCGAGGTCCTCTCGGATGGACCTCGGATGGACCCGAATCGGAAAGCTCGCAAAGCTTTCCGATTCGGATGGACCTCGGATGGACCTCGGATGGACCTCGGATGGACCTCGGATGGACCCGAATCGGAAAGCTCGCAAAGCCTTCGCTCTTGAGAAATGCAGTTCCAGGGTCACCGCATAGATGGCGCCAGAATGCCAGTGTGTTCCGTCGTCCTAAGAAATTTTATGAAGTTTTAACAGATCTCGTCTCTCTCGGCCGTACTCAGTTGCAAGAGTGTGAACGGGCCTTAAGAAAAAGGGGGTGCATAGGGGTACACCCCTTGTCCCATATGTAACACCACTAAACAAGAATTGGACGTTCAGTCCAAAGACGTCGAACCGACGTTGCCAACTTTCAAGAGCGGCTTGATAGTCGACCGATACAACTTATTAAAATAGCTATTGTGCGCATGCATTAAAGGCTACAGTAAGACAAGGCTTTTTTTTTTTGGCCCCGTTGCAAACGTCAGCGTTATTTTTTTCCTAGTCTTTGATACACACGTTTGTTATTTAGTACGTTATATCCAACAGCTATCAAGCCGCTCGTAAAAGTTGGCATCGCCAGCTCGACGTCAGTGGACTGCACGTTCAAATGTAGGTTTTGGGTCTTACATACGGGACAAAAGGTGTACCATATACACCCCCTATCTCCAAGAGTGCGTTCTAAAACTACCTTCAAGGTGGAGGAAG